AGGCGTGCGCCACCATGCCCAGCTAATTTTTGTATTTTTAGTAGAGACGGGGTTTCACCATGTTGACCAGGATGGTCTCGATCTCTTGACCTTGCGATCCACCCGCCTCGGCCTCCCAAAGTGCTGGGATTACAAGCGTGAGCCACCGCTTAACATGTACATATGTATCTGTTAAACTAAATTGAAATTAGTAACAATGCAAATAATCCACCTTAATCTGTGGTTATTACCTAGTATCAGTTAACAAATGTGATTTTCAGTGTATCTTTCTTAGAGTAGCCTGCTTTTCCTCACCTTAATCTATTTATTATTTTGAGTGTCTCTGCAATGCTTACCTAAAAAAAAAATACTTCTGGCTTATTCCATTGTGTTTTGCTGTTTTTTAAATATTTACGTTACTCCCAACTAGATAGCAGAATTCTTGTGACAAGGGGGTATTGCATAGTAGTATTTAGTCACTGTTGAATGAATGTATAGATTGCCAGGAATATACATAAAAATGATTGTAGTGTTTTCAGTGTTGTTTTATGTTGTTTTTATTGTCTGGAAGAAGAATAAATTTATTACAGATGCAGTAATCTGATTTGAATATCAGCAGTGCAGGTTTTAGTATAACAGTATTTCAAAATTAGTAATTTATTGATATAGTTAAAGTTCATTGACTAATTTTAGTGATACTGATAAATATTTGATCACATTTTTGCAACAGTTGACTCAATTAGCAGATATACTTTTATATCTGTATACTTTTGATTTTTAAAAGTTAAGTGAATAACTTTTAAATATCTTACTATATAAAATTAAGTTCTGTAGTCACACATTCCTCTAATGAAAGTGATATCTCTATTGTTAATCTTTGACTTCAACAGTAAGAACATTTTACCAGTTATTCTTCCTTCTCTGATCATCTTTGCATTTTCTAATAGAGCAAGAAGCAGATATTACACCAACATAAATGAACTCTGTATTTTAAATATAAAAGTATTAAATTTACACACAAAAATGCTGTTTTCTACTATTTTATTTTAGATATTGGCTGCTTATACACAACACATTGATGGTGAATAACATAACCTAATGGCAATTTTCCCAGCCAAGAATTAGTATAGATTTATGACTCCTAAGTCTAAATCAGGGCATTAGGTTTCAGGTTTTAGAAGTTTTTGGATTTGAGCAAAATGAAACAATGCATTTGCGACACATTGTGTAACATTCCCAGTAAGACTTCAGGCAGTATCCTACAATCAAAAATTCTAATATTTCTATAATGAATAATAAATAATCCCTTTAAGGGTGGAAGAAGCATTGCTTGCAGGAGAAAAGGGTTGGTTAGGATTTTTTAAACACAGTGGATGGTATGAACAGACTTGGTACTGACATGACTTGGCAGCGTAGGCACCATGTAAGGTATTCAGTGTGACTTGATACAGTGAAGGATACAGAATAGCAGGACTGATTTGCAGGATTCTCTAAGGAGGGACAGTGGAGGTGGACTTGGACGTGGAGGTGGGGAAGGTGTCTAGTAGTGGGATGCATATGTCTAAAATGTCTAAAATCATTTGGATACATTCATTACTGCAGATGTAGTTATAAAAAACAAGCCCTGTAAGGAGATGTCCTAGAATGGAAACTTTTTCTAAAAGAATTTTTATGGCTCATTTAATCTAGTTTCTGTCTTCCTTATGCTGAGAGTTACTCTCTGGCTAGGGCCTTCGAGACTCTTTAGGCCATAGAAAGTTTACATTCTCAAGGCTAATTGGAATGCCATAGTGATGATCATTATTTCGTAGTTAGGACACCTTATCTTACTTAATTCAGTTAGTGTATTTTCTATTCTGTCTGCATTCTGCCTGTATTGTTTGTATTCTAAACAAGGAGAATGAGCTTTTACTAATATAACTTACAGAGTGCTGTAATAATTACTTTTTTATTATTGTAGTTTCTACTCTTTTGTTTTTGTTTTTTTTTCTACTTATTTTTTTGTCCTTTTTATTGATAGGTGTGGCAGAAAAAACACAGCTTCTGAAATTGAACGTACCTGCTACCTTTATGCTTGTGTCTTTAGATGAAGGGCCAGGTCCTCCAATCAAATATCAGTATGCTGAATTAGGCAAGTTATATTCAGTAGTGTCTCAGCTGATTTGTTGCTGCAATGTATCATCAAGAATGCAGTCTTCAGTCAATGGTAAAGTAGCAGATTCCACTTTTTTTTACAGCAGTTTAAAAATAATCATAGATTTATGTATTATTTGAGTTAAAGTAGCTCTGAAGTTTTATAAAAATGAAACTAGTCTGAAGCTCTGAAATGTTGTAGAATATTTTATATTTAATATTTTAGCTTTTTCATATGTCTTACGGAGTTTGGTTTTGTTTTGGTTTTTTAATATAGGGTTCTGTGCTGTCTTATGAAATTGTTAGTTTAAGAATGCTAAACTTTGTTTTTAGTGTCAGCATTTATATTTTTGCATTTTATCACCTTCGTATAGCTGACCATTTAGGTGAATTTTTAGTTTTATTTAAAGTCAGATTTTATTTTTTAAGATAAGAAATTTACTATTATAATTTTTTGAGGAATTCTGTTGATTTATCATGGATAACAAATCTGTTCTAGGTAATCCTCCTCTCCCCAATCCTTTCGGGGACCCCAATTTATCACAGCCCATAATGCCAGTTCAGCAGAATGTGGCAGACATTTTATTTGTAAGAACAAGTTATGTGAAGAAAATTATTGAAGACTGCAGTAACTCAGAGGATACCATCAAATTACTTCATTTTTGCTCTTGGGAGAATCCTCAGTTCTCATCTACTGTCCTCAGTGAACTTCTCTGGCAGGTCAAAGAAAAATAAACATTGATATATCTATTATTTTATTCATTTTTAAAAAATGAGTAATTCACTATTTTTAACTATTTGTAGGTTGCATATTCATATACCTATGAACTTCGGCCATATTTAGATCTACTTTTGCAAATTTTACTGATTGAGGACTCTTGGCAGACTCACAGGTGAATATGCTTTGTCACCAGAATAATTACAATTTGCAACATTCTTGATATAACTTGAATTGTCAATCACCAAATATATTTTTTATCTTTTGGTGTGCTGCTTAATGTTCTATCTTTAAAAAACATGAAGGAAAAATGCCACTTATTTGTATTCTGTTCTCTTAATGTTTCACTTTTATGCTTAATACTAGGTTTTGTCTTCCATTTACTGTGTTTATTTTCTTTAAGGAAACCAGCAAGACTTTTAATACCTAAGTTCTATTAATATTTTAAGATTATCATGTAGTCATTCTAAAATTATAGTAGATAACAGTTGTCTAAAAGCAATCCCTCACCTCTAAGTAGTTAGTTTTAAATATATGTAAGAAATAAGAGGGTAATCTCAGAACTGAGATTATGCTGTAACAGGTCTATAAATAGGCCCCTAGAATTCTCAGTTGTTTTCTCTGCAGTAAAATCAGTATAAGAATTATACCGTATAATTAGTTGCCTAACTCTGCCTAAAAATTATTTTTTTCCTCATGGGAATTTTAAAATAATAGCTTGTTTTAGGAACACACACACATATACACACACACACACACTCATTAGACATTGTAATAAGCAAAAGAAAAACTTGAAAACAAATTTATGATAAAGCTGCAGAACACAGTGCCAAAAGGCAAAGCATTGTAACCTTCTATTTTAGAAAACTGAAAATAATAGACTTCAGCAGTTAAAATTGTCAAATTGTGATTCAGTTCACCATCAAGCAGATCAATTAATGTAAAGGTAGCATTAGATCAGTAATGTTTTAAATTAGATCCCACTTGTTTTAATGGGATTTAATTTTTATTTCTTAAAATTTTTACTGTTTTAAATAATTTGTAGGCAAATATTGTTATGTGACTTCCATTTATTTATTTATTTATTTATTGGATACAGAGTCTTGCTCTGTTGTCAGGCTGGAGTGCAGTGGCCTGATCTCAGCTCACCTGCAACCTCTGCTGCCCAGGTTCAAGCAATTTCCCTGCCTCAGCCTCCCAAGTAGTTGGTACTACAGTTGTGCACCACCACGCCTGGCTAATTTTTTGTATTTTGGTAGAGACAGGGTTTCACCATGTTGGTCAGGATGGTCTCAATATCCTGACCTCGTGATCTGACGCCTCAGTCACCCAAAGTGCTGAGATTGCAGGATGACCCACTGTGCCCAGCCAGCTATGTGACTTCTTATGTTTGCTCTAAGGCTAAATCACATTTTTAGCCTTCTTATCTCATCCAAGGAAATGATTATAATAAAGATACACATGCTGGATTAATGTGGACAGTAGTGGACTTTTGTGCAAAATTAGTATTGGCCTTATGAACATAAGCTTGAAATGTTTTTCTATAATGGACATTTATTCAATAGACAGTATTCAACAGATATATATATATATATATATATATAAACATCTTCTGGGTGCCAAGAGCTGTTATTATGACTTCATTATAACCTGTAAGAGAATACAAAAATGGTATATATATCACAAGTGTTGGAGGAAACCTATCCCTGTTTTTTGTCTGAAATTTTTGACGTTGAATTTAGATGTCAAAAATTGCTCTTTCCGAGAAAAATTTATATTGCAAATGTGTCTAAAGCAAACCAAAAAACCTGACATTTGACCTGGGATATAAAAATATTTTGTCAAGTAAGATATATGGTATGGAGAAAAAACTTTTTAAAGTTATTTTTCTGTCTGGGTAATAACACAAAAGAAAGAAGGCATTTCTTCGGGGCTGGGGAAGCTTTTTTGTTTTTTGAGACAGAGTTTTGCTCTTGTTGCCCAGGCTGGAGTAAGTGATCTCGGCTGACTGCAATCTCCATATCCTGTATTCAAGGGACATTCCTGCCTCCTAAGTAGCTGGGATTACATGCATGTGCCACTACACCTAATTTTTGCATTTTTAGTAGAGACGGGTTTTCACAATGTTGGTCAGGCTAGTCTCGAACTCCTAACCTCAGCTGATCTACTGGGCTTGGCCTCCCAGAGTGCTGCAGTTACAGAAGTGAGCCACCATGCCTGCTCTGTGTTTGTAATTTTTAAAATTTTCTATTAAGGAGAACAGGAAATAGCTGTGTAAATAGGTTGCAATTAGGCAATCTTGAAATAAAATAATTGACCATTAGAAAATCAGGCAAATTTTAACATTGTCAGTGGAAATTGCTTTACCCATCATGTACATGTTTTTACACTATTAGAATTCAAGTTAGTTTGGTACTGCCAATTTATGTCACTGTTCCATAATCACTGCATTCTTGCTTTACCTACTAAAATGCAGTCTTTGAAAAATGGATTAACTCAAAATAAGTTTTTTTCAACTGAAGTAGTCTTAAATACTGGTTAGCTTTTGGAAAAATAATGTGGTTAGCTGGACATGGTGGTATGTTTCTGTAATCCTGACTACTTGGGAGACTGAAGTGAGAGTATTCCTTGAATCCTGGAGTTTGAGGCTGCACTGAGCAATAAACTATGAACATGCCACTGCAGTCCAGCCCAGGACACAGAGCAAGATTCTATCTCTAAAAAAAAAAGAAAGAAAACTTAAAAAAAAATAATGTGTAGCATCATTGTCCTTACTTTGCTGTTAGTAGTGCATTCATAGTATATTTAGTGAAAGCATTTTGAATTAGTAATATGACAAGAACTCAAATGGTTGAGTCAGGTTGCTAACTGCTGCTCAACTTGGCTAGGTCTGTAATACTTGGCAAGCTATTTGTGCTCTCTGTACTTGTTTTCTCATTTGTTAAAATGTTCCTAATTTTAATTCGTTCCTACATAGTTACAGAAGTAATTTGAATATTAATTACATGATATTATTACATCAAAAACTTGTTCTAAATGGCACATATTAGGCACTCAAATGTGAACTACTACTGGATATTATGAATTTTTACATCTGCTTCTGTTTTAGAATTCATAATGCACTTAAAGGAATTCCAGATGATCGAGATGGGCTATTTGATACCATACAGCGCTCAAAGAATCACTATCAAAAACGAGCATATCAGTGCATAAAATGTATGGTAGCTTTATTTAGCAGTTGTCCTGTTGCTTACCAAATCTTACAGGTGAGGGTTTTCTTTTATAATTTTGTAGAAACCTGTGTCATAATTAAGGACCATTTTAAAAGAAAATAATCATGAAAATTTTGAATTAGCCTTTTCGATTGATAATGAAAATTACTCTAAATTGTTTTAGATATATAGTTTTATTTTCTTTTGAAGGGCAATGGAGATCTTAAAAGAAAATGGACCTGGGCAGTGGAATGGCTAGGAGACGAACTTGAAAGAAGACCATATACTGGAAATCCTCAGTATATTTACAATAATTGGTCTCCTCCAGTACAAAGCAATGAAACATCAAATGGTTATTTCTTAGAAAGATCACATAGTGCCAGGATGACACTTGCAAAAGCTTGTGAACTCTGTCCAGAAGAGGTAAAAAATAAAAAAAAGAAAAAGCCACCAATGGACAGCAAATAGATGTGGGAAAAAGAAATGTAATATTTTAATGTATAGACCAATGTTTATTAATACTGTTAAAAAAAAAATCATGCTGCAGTTTTCTTTGCTTTAACGGTTAGCTTGATTGGTTTGTTCTTAAGTTAACAAAGAAGTTTCCTTTTGGAAAAAACTTAGTGAAGTTGTCTAAAAATTACATACCTAAAGAATTCAGATTTTATTTTGTGTGTTTGTTTTTGTTTTTGTGTTTGGAGATGAAGTCTTGCCCTGTTGGCCCAGGCTTCAGTGCAGTGGCACGATCTCGGCTCACTGCAGCCTCCACCTCCTGGATCAAGTGATTTTACTGCCCCAGCCTTCTAAGTAGCTGGGATTACTGGTGCTAACCTGACTAATATTTGTGTTTGTAATAGAGACAGTGTTTCACCATGATGGCCAGGCTGGTCTCAAACTCCTGACTTTATGTGCTCCACGTGCCTTGGCCTCTCAAAGTGCTGGGATTATGAGCGTGAAATCTGCCTGGGCTGTCTTCTTGTATTATAAATTATTTGAAGTAAATGCAAAGATGTTGAAGAGGCCAACTTTGTGCATTTCTTAAATTTATTTTAAACTAAGGAAATTAAATATAAATTTGAAGTTACTGTTAGAATCTAATGCTAAATCTCTTTAATTATTTAAAATTAGGAACCAGATGACCAAGATGCTCCAGATGAGCATAAGTCCTCTCCACCAGAAGATACCCCATTATATTCTCATTTACCTGGCTCTCAGTATCAAAAGGTAAAAAGGATTTTTTATTTTTACCCCCCAAACTCATTTTGATGCTTTACTTAAAAGGTCTTCAGTTATTGTTTTTTAAAATATTTTGAAAGTCCAACCTTTCTCTGTGCCTGGCTACTATTTAAAACTAGATAAACTGTTCCAAACCGAGATGAACTGGGTACACTGTCACTATAAAGTAATAACGAAATTGTCCAGAACAGCTTCAGCAAGATGATCAATAGAGGACTGGTTGGAGTGAGGTCATGTTTTATTTTACTGCTGTGGTGTTTTCTTTATCATCAGGTACTACCCCCTTGTGCTGTTTGCTGTGGTTAATAAAATTGTGTAGTATTTCAGTAATTGTCGAAGAAATGTTAAAGCATAAAATATCTGAGTGGGTACTTACCTCAAGATTCAGTGGCAGTAAAAATTCTGTTTGACTGGCTTTAATAGAACTGAAAAACTATAACTGAGGAAAAATATAAATAAACTATGAGAACTTATTTTTAAAAATAGGCATTTTTGGGAAAAGAATTCTGGGAAGATTAATTACAAATGTGAGTAATGCAGTCATTTTAAGGCAGTGATTCTTAAATTTAATGTGCATCATAATCATGCAAATTCACTAAGAATAGCAGGTGCAGGGTAAAATTATCACTCTATAGAGCTATTGTGGGACTCAAGAATTGGCATTTCTTTTAACATTACAAGTATTCCTGGTCTGGAGAAAACATGGAAAACCTTTCTGCGTAGCACAGTAATTGGCAAAACTTTGTTTTGTATGTTTTGAGATAAAGCCTCTATTGCCCAAGTGCAGTGGCACAATCTCAGCTCACTGTAACCTCCACCTCCCAGGTTCAAGCAATTCTCCTGCCCCAGCCTCCCAAGTAGTTGGGACTATAGGCATGTGCCACCACACCCAGCTAAGTTTTGTGATTTTAGAAGAAATGGGGTTCCACCATGTTGGCCAGGATCTCTTGACCTGTAATCCATCCACTTTGGCCTCCCAAAGTGCTGGGATTACAGGTGTGAGCCACCAGGCCCAGCCAAGACTCTTCAATACATTCTCTGGAGGTAAAATGATTTTTTAATCTGAAACTGACACATTTTATGTCGTTCATTTTCTCAAAACACTTTATTTGGTACTTTTTTCTTAAAATATAAATATCAGATTGTAGTTTTTTTTCTTTTTTAAAGATAAGTTCTAGGTTTTAAAATGTCTACTTTTTAACCAACCTAAGCCCATAGTTTTACATTTTAATTGTTAATATCTGAAAAGTGTGACATGCTGGTCTCTTTCACCCTCTTAGAATAATCATGTGCATGGACAGCCATATACAGGACCAGCAGCACGTCACTTGAACAACCCTCAGAAAACTAGCCAACAAACACAAGTAAATTATGAAGGCAATGAAGAAGTATCCTCACTTCAGATGAAGGATCAGTGAAAAGCACATAATTTATGACCATGCACTAAGGCCGTACCATCCAAGCTTTTTCTGTGCCTGGCTAGTATTGAAAACTAGATAAACTACTTCAAAGCAACATGGAGTGGAGAGCATATTCAGTGTCTCATTTATAATAATTTGCCATTCATCAGTGTATAAACCACAGGCGGGGGAAGTGTACAGTGTTTTGTAATAAATGACTGATCCTAATCTGTAAATGACAAAAGTGTATATACTATGTTAATTTTTGACTGTTGATTCTTAATCAAGAAACTTTTTTGATAAAAACAAGTTAGATCTATACAATCACACAATTTTTTTTTGTTAACGTTCACTGCATTGTGCAATTGATATTGCTTGCTTTGTGGTTTGATCAACTCCTTCACCCCCTTTACCCCCAGAAAAGGGAACATAAAAAAGAGCCCATCTTTGTCAGTTTACATCAATAGTTTCTTATTAATCTTTTTGACTGGATCTGTAAGTTTGGTGGTTAACTTTTGAATTATATGGTCGATGTGGAAAATTGGCAATGTAACGTTTCTAGACATTTTTCATTACCTTTCTATTCTGGTATATAGGCTAACCACTTTAAAGTTATTCTTACATTGTAACAATTAGCATGGCTTCACACTATTTGTGTAGCCAAGAGGACAGAATTACATAAATGACAGCAGTTGCCCAGAGGGACAGTTGTATTGCTCAGAGATTTTATTTCTTATACCTAGAATAAACATAAAGTGGGGAAAAATGTGACAAGCAATTTTCATTGTGTACATGTTCTTCACAAATTATATCAAAGTATATCTAATAGAAATTTTAAAATATTAAAACCAGTAGGCAAAATTTTTCTATGTCAGAATGTGTGGAGCATAATAGATTGTATTCGGTGCACTTGGGTTTTTGTTGTTGTTCTTGTTGAATTTATTAACTGGGACTTCTAAAACTAAAACTTTGCTTCTTTTGATCCTGGTGAAGTGTACGTCATCAGAATCCACAGTACTTTTGAAGTACCATTGCACCAAGATGTCTGACTGAATTACTAGTCAGTCATAATTTTACTCGAAAGCAAGAATTGTCCTAGTGGTTTTTTTTTTTCTGTTACTCTAAAACCCTTGTTGTTAAATATAGGGTTTAATTAAAATGTAAGCTCCTGCTTATGTTAATGTAATTCTAAGGTACCATTTTGGAAGAAACATTTGTTTTAAGATTCCAAGAAATCTGTGAGTTAATACCGTATTTCAAAAGAGAATTGGTAAATTTTGAATATGTGTAATATTTTGGAACCTGTTTAAAAACCAAATATCCCTGCAAATAGATACAGCCTATCCTATAATATTTAAATATTTTGCTGTTTTGATTTATAGAAATTATTTTGCTGAATTCACAAATAGAATTTTGATTTAAGAAGAATTTTGTCCTGGGGTGTGTTTTTGTTTCTTGTTAATTTCTTGTGGTATTCTTAAGGACTACACATTTAAATTAATTATCTGCTTGGCATGCCTTCCACATGACACTGAATTCAGCATTTCAGACACATTGAGTTTTAATGCATTAAAAAAAAATTGGCCCTTGGCCTTTCACCAAGGACCCAGAAAAAGAAAAAACCATTAAGATATTGGCCTTGTTAAAAAAAAAAAAAAATCTAGCTTAATCATTTTTGTGCTTTTGGTACATTTTTACATAGTTGATGCTTGTAACTGACAGTAGTAGATGTTTTATAAAGTCACTATGAATACCAAATTAGTAAATATTGAAATTTTTATACCATCAACATTGGAAATGCTCTGACTTTCCCAAACTACCACTCTGTAACCTATGTAGTATGTTCATTTGATATAATCTCTTTACCCATTGTTAGACACAATAGACCCTTAAATGTGTCACTTAGTATGAAGAAATGCAATTCATTTGGTTATAGTATCTTCGGATTTTCTTACAGTAATTTAAGCATTAGCATTGACCATTGCGGATATAGTAGTCAGGACCCATTGATACTCTGTCAGAGCTAGGGATGTTGGTTCATTGTAAGCAGCTATGTAAGGGCCTTTGTATTCAGACCATAGTTATTTACACTCTGTATCTCTCTTCCAGCCTAGAAATAGATCTTGGGATTTTGTTCCCCACGGAGTACAAGAGGAATATGTTTAGATTGACCCCTGCATTACTGCTGCATCTCCATAAGGCGGCCACCTCAAATGAATTCACCAGGCTACTTGCTGGTTCTAGTCACCCCTGTTGTCCTGGAGTGAGTTCTTTGGATGGATGTTAACATACCCTTCTTTAATGTAGCCCTTAAATCCCATGTTGTATTTTCCAGAGGTCTATTTCACATACTGGCATCTTCTTAATAGTTCAGTTTTCTATTGTCCTGGTGACCAAGTCATTGGTTACTAATCATGAATTAGTAAGAATTCAAACAAATGCATTTTAAAAAAAAAAAAAATTGTTAACTTTTTAACACTCAAGAAAACAGCATGTAGTTCAATTATTGAACTAATTTATTCATTCAATCTTCAACTGGTCTTTTCATTTCTAGTCTCTATGAAAGCCTGCCAACAGGACATTGTTCACCCACCTTGAAACTGCCATCCATAAACCAAGCAGGTCTTTATTGGTCAGTAGGGAACTATTCAGAGGGCATTGCCCATAAGACAGGATGATGCAGCAGTTCCTGACATGGTTCCAAACTTGATCCTAAGGAACATGTTCCTCTATAAACCTATTTCCCTTGTTATGTTGGAATTCTTCTGAGCACTTCCTTATTAGAATGTTTTCTTAATTCATGCAATACATTCTAGGTGTTTCAGATTTTAGTACTAGTTTATGTTCTTCAGTCTCAGAAGTAGGCAAGGCAAGACAAGCTACTAATTAGCTTGTCAAGGCAAGCTGCACCAAGGCAAGACAAACTAGTAATTATCTGTCAAATGGCACATAATATATCATGGCATCCAGGAATTTTCTAGTCCAAAATTCCCAGCTATTGCTGCAGAGTGGCGTGTGCAGGGCTTTTGCCATAGCTTCAGTCTGCCTCAGAACACGTAAACACCTCCAGATTTGCAATGTGGATCATAAGGTTTCAAAGTATTGAGAGAGAGAGAGAGAGAGCACTTTGCAATTCAGACATGGCCTGCCTTAGTGCAATTTCTAATTTAAATAGATCTCTCTCTCCTTTTTAAATTGATAATTTATAAATATGTGCAATTGCACATATTTACAAGGTAGATATGATATTTTGATACATGCACACAGTAATAAAATTAATAATTGGTATATTTGTATGTTGGTAATTGGTCTGTTAGTCACCTCATACATGCATCATTTATTTGTGTTGAGACCATTCCACATCTAATCATCTAGTAATTTTGATATATAAGATAAATTATTCATTTTTATAGTCTCCCTCCTATACTATCAAACATTAGAACCTATTTCTTCCAACAGTATTTATACCCATTAAGTAATTCATCCTTTGCCTTGCTCAGTGTTCTTTCCAGCCTGTGGTAATCTTTCTATTCTCTACCTTCATGAGATCAACTTTCTTATTGCCCTTGTATGAATGAAAACATACAATACTTCGTCTTTATATTTCCTAGATTTTTTCATTTAACATAATAATGTCCCTTAAATGAAACCTTTTGAGTAGTGTTATGGAAAGGAGCTAGAAATATTTTCAGATGTGTAATATGAATCCCCAAAATCCTATTCAACCAAATGCTGGGCTTCTTGTTTACTCAGGAGTAGGTAATGACAGAAATTAATTCTAGGTGACCTATGAAATGTCCCCATGTCTCTTCCCAGGTTTTTGTAAAAATTCCACCATTTGAGTGCATCTCTGGATCTTTGCTGGATTTATGGTCTCTCCTTGTTGGTCATATGAATCAATATATATAAAGTCTGTGTTAGGTTCCTCTTCAGTTTTAGATGTTCACATGCCATCTTCAGTATGATGTATTACATTCAAGCCCAAATCTCACATAAGCAAGTTATGTTAGTAATCTATGGCAAAATATTAATAGTGAATGTAAATTGGGATCTTTTCCATATGCAGTTTACTATTCTAAGATTGAGACAAAGAAAAACATATTTGCAAGTTTAATGATACCCTATAGTGTCTTTTTTATACTGTGGAAAGGAATGTCAAACACTATTGATGGTATGTGCAGCACTACTTTATTCTAGATTTGTTCCCATGAACCATGTCTTTTTCTTCTAGGTCACAAAAAGAATCCAGATAATTCATCAGTACTAGCCCTTTGGTTTCTAATTAAATTAAAGTGTTTTTTGTTTTGGGGTTTTGTTGTTGCTGTCCAAAGAATCCTACGCTGTTTCAGTAGTCTTTGTGAGCATTGGTAGTTCTAGTTGTTCCCATTTAATGTATTCAATAAAGATTGGCCTGAGGGAAAATTTCATGCCTTCTATTTTACTATAGAAGTAGCATAGGCTGGGTGCAGTGGCTCATTCCTGTAATCCCGGCACTTTGGGGGACTAGGCAGGTGAATTGCTTGAGCCCAGAAGTTGGAGACCAGTATAGGAAACATGAGAAACACTCAGTCCTACAAAAAAACACAAGTAGCTAGGTATCCAATGCCTGTCATCTCAACTACCTGGTAGCCTGAAGTGAGAGAATCACCTGAACCCAGGAGGTAAAGACTGCAGTGATCCATTATCACAGCACTGTTCTGCAGCCTGGATGACAGAGCCACACTGGAGAGAAGTTGATCTCAAACTCCAGACCTTAGGTGATTCACCTTGGCCTCCAAAAGTGATGGAATTACAGGCGTAAGCCACCGTGCCCAGTCCTTTGCCCACCTTTTAATGGGATTGTTTAGGTTTTGTTTGTTGGGTTTTTGTTTGTATGGGTTTTTTTTTTTTTTTTTTTTT